ATATATATATTTATATATTTATATTTATATATATATATCAAATTTTAGTACAAACAACTATTTCCATACATTCACCTACTTACAGAGTTTAATTTCATATGTACACAGCTACACATACGCAAACCACTACTGCTATAATACCTTTGCCTACGTGCCCAATGGAAAATGAGTCCAGTATCCAATGTGCGATTTGTGGCAACCTAAGTGTGATATCTGCCACGCCACACTCAAACTACAACCCAGTGTATAGACCGCTTTTATTGAGTGTACTGCGGCGGACTTTGGCCGTTCACATAGGGAGTATATATACTGGATTATGTGGTAAAAGTCGGAACAGAGGTTCAGCAACTGGTTGTATTATCTCGTAGAGCTGCAACACACAGCCCATGTGCATATTAGAGTCGCAAGACAAAGCTGCTCAAAGAAGCCCAATGTCATTTTCAGTGCGCTGAATGTACCATACTCGGTTGAGATAGATGTTCAGAAACACTCGCTGGCACCCATTTTGTCCCCTTGTGAAACAAAGCATAGGCAGACTACAATTATGTCCCATGTTCACTTACGCAATCACAATTGGCGCCAGCGCAATGTGTGTCGCTGCAAGTATAGCTCTGCTAGGTTAAAAAAACGAGAAAGTTTTATTAACCCGCCTACTCTTATAGGTTCGGTGCCACTCTAGCCCTGCCATCTGAACGCCGCAGGCATCATTCAATATGCGGAAATGAACACTACACGTGATCCTGCTGCTTTATTATGTGCAGTAAAAAGGTAACAGCAAGATAGTACCGGGGTGCCAAGACTCAGAATGCTAATCATCGAAACTTTTTGCGGTCAAGGCCAAGCCATCGCAAGGCGTTCTCTCCCAGTAGGTTTATCTTTGTTTCATCGCTAATAGCTCCGAGCTGTTGGAATGAAAACAAGAGTATGAGCGAGAGACAATCCACAAAGTAGTAAAATGCATAGCCTACTGCCCGATAACGGAGACTCGGTCTACAATCCCGAATTAATTAGTACAAGGGGCACGCATTATATGCGGCCAAGCCTCAATGGTTCGTTACACATAAGCGACAAGTTACTTCTTAGTTGTATCGAGTGTACCCATACGTGCACTCAAATAAAAGTATGGCATCACACACACACCTTCTGCAGCAGAACATCGCCCGATGATCCTCCTGCAGCGGCTATCAACTCTTCATCACTCCGTGCAACGTCCTCGATGAGCTTCCCAGGCATGTGTTCGCCTAGAACAAACGGATAGTCCGTGCCAAGCATGATATTCCTTGACCCCAGCTTCTTCACTGCCAATCGCAGCGCGTCTTCATCGTGTACCAGGGAATCAATCCACAGTCGTTTCAGGTATACCTCTGGATCAACCGTGTTATTGGTTTGACAAAGATCAGGGCGTGTTTTGAAGCCGTGTCTTATTCTACCTAAGGTGGCCAAGAACGAGCCTCCTCCATGTGCAAAACAGACTTTGAGATTCGGATGCCTCTCCATCACACCGCCAAAAATGAGTGAGCAGATGGCAATTGTGGTTTCGCACGGCATGCCAATCAGCCAAGGGAACCTGATGCACAAGAGATGAAATAACGTCGGTTCAATACCTTTTGGTGAGGAAGGAACTACTTGCCAGAAGATGTCTCTGTCAGTGGGTCATGGATTAATTAATTGACTGAAGCATATAATTCACAATGCAAGAATTTCGCATACACTTATGCACACAGCATCACCGTGCATACCAATATTTTGCCATGCGTCCATCCTCCTGCATATCCCATGGGTGAACAAAAATCGCAGCATCCAGGTCTTCGCATGCAGACCAGAATGGTTCTAACTCCGGCGCATCCAAATTCCATTCATTGATGTGGCTTCCTATCTCAACACCCCTCAGCCCTAGCGTTGTCATACATCTGTGTTTAGAATACATGTGAGTGAACAATTGAAGACCAACCCTTTAAAAATTGGGATAACTGTATAAATATGACGTTCGCATAGTGATCATTCCTAAGTACGGCATACAGACAGCAGCAGCATGTTATACGAACAAATATACCACAGTGAGCTGCGGGTGTTTAAAATTTACAGCCCATAGCTACCTACCTTTTCAGTTCTTGAACTGCCAATGTAGGCGCTTGCATCGGCACAGTTCCCAAGCCAACGTATCGTTTGGGATTACTTTTCACCCTGGCCGCTATGTCGTCGTTTACAAATTGTGACACGAGCAGGGCGTCGTCGGCTTTTGCCCAATAAGAAAACATCACAGGCACTGTCGAAAGTACCTGAGGAAAATAGAAAAGGAAATATTCAGTATTCATCGCAGACTCTCTAGCATCTAAATTTGCATTTATGAAAGGCATTCTACAATTGATTATGACATATACGTGGATAGCCACTCACCTGCACATTCACACCGGAATCCTCACAGTCAGACATTCGGCTTTGAGAGCTCCAACAGTTGCAATTAATAGTTCTGAAATGTTTCCCATTCAACATCATATCCGCCGTGGTCCGAGAGTGTCCTGTCGTTTCATCACCGCTTACGCCCTGAGCAACATCATCCTTGTGTTTGAGCGTTATCCAATCACCGTAACCAAATTGAGTTCTAAAGTCTGGTATATTTTCAGGGAGGATATGTGTGTGAATATCCACTTTGAAAGCGCCCTCTCTAGATTCGCTCATTGTGCCGTCACCGACTGGAATATCGCTACCTCCGCTAAGCATTGCAACAGACTCACAATCTATTAACAATCAGAATTGATTAATTAACTATCTATATCTAGTTGAACTGAATGTAGATCACAGCCTCAGAATACACTTTTCAGCGGTCCTTATCCTCTCCTTTGTGCGAGTACTTTTGTTGTTTCTCCAACCTCAACAGTGTAAATGTGAAGAAAGTCATTTTGTCAAAAATACCGATCAAAAGTTACCTGTTTCATTATATGCTTCCTCAAGCTTCCTAGCTTCTATAGAGAATCCAGCAGTCCGAAATCCAAAAAGCCGCAGCCGAAGTCAAAGTCAGAAGGAGCGAAAACTATGCAAACTATAACCGTCCCACAACGTACGCAATCCAATCACAATTAAGTTGCACTTCCAAATTCCGAAATGTTACGAAAAAAATCCGAAAAGCCGTGACATTTCTATTGTCACACATTTCAGATTTCTGTTTTGTTTTATGAAAATAATGTTGGGAGTTTCCCCCCCTTTTCTAGGTTGTAACATTCATGAATCGGATTTTTTACGGATTTTGCATAGCCCTCTAAAATCTAAATTGAACACTTGGCCAAAACTCGTGAAAAAAATAGGCTTCAAGTTGAAATTTTGAAAAAGAGTTTTGGAATCCATAATAAAATTCATTTGACTGGTGAAATTATAAACCTATTCTTATTTACTCACCTATTTCTTTTTTAGAGCCCGCTCAATTTCATCATGAGTAGAATCTAAGTAATCTACTGAAGATGCCAAATGGGTTTCATCTAATTTTTGGTGAAAGTCCGGCACCGGTCCACCAATTAAAGGTCTAAGAACCAATTGAAATCGCAAACAAAAATATACATTGGATCAAATTTTATTGAATCAGTGAAGAATTCGCGACACCGGTGTGAGCAGGCTCTTTTAGAAATACTGGACATGGCATTTTTTAAGAAAAAGGTGTAACTTCTCTTATTTCTTTTAGTATACAGTATATAGTATTCGTAACGTGCCTATAGAGGTTAGAGTAAAATAAAATAAAAAATATGTATTTATTTATTTTAAACTGTATGAAACTTGGGGCTGGGCTGCTGGCCGCTTGGCAGAGTAGGGCTGGCTGTCACATGGATGAAATTTTATATTTTATTAACTTTTCCTGTTGAGGCCCCGTCGAATACCTTCATCCTATTTTTCGAGAGACTCGATTCCAGAGTATGCCTTTCCTGAAGGACACTCCTTTTTTTGCTTTTGGTTTTTTTTAAACAAAGTTTTTAAATAGACAAGGTTATTTATGAAGAATGAAAAAATACAGTACTGGCATTTCCCTTATTATTATATTTAAACATAGGTGTAGCTACTCTATTATTTTTTAGTAAATAATAAAGTTTTGTTTTTTTTAAATGAGCATAGCAAAGCGTCCTAAATAAAAGCATAGTCACTCAATAATCAGTTATTTAATTTCCAATTTACGATTCTTAATTTTAGAAATTATATAATTCATGACCCTCTAGAAAGAGAAGAAGACTTAAATTAACAAAATATCGGGAATCGAACTAACGTCCGAAGAGCGAAGGACGTATAATTTCAGTTTTATTTTCTTGGTCCCTATTTCCTCATATGATTTTCTAAAGTTGCTCTAAAAAGTGCCCGCAGAATTAACGCTTTCAAGCACGGTTTTCAGGCTTCAGAAGGCAGGAGTACAGGGCTTCAGGCTTCAGGGCCAGGCTTCAGGGCCAGGCTTCAGGGCCAGGCTTCAGGGCCAGGCTTCAGGGCCAGGCTTCAGGGAAGTTCAGGCTCATGCTTCAGGCTTTCAGGCCTTCAGACCTAAAAAAAAGTATATAGTTGAATTAAAAAAGAAGAGAGTCAGACGGTTATTTTTATTACGGTCGTTCAAACGTAAATATATATTTTTTAGCGTTCCCGTCGCATTGATGGGAAACTACATATGTACTGAACACTGTCAGTTCCATTTGCCGGAATCATGAATATCAGTTCGCACGGCCCTCTGGATTTGGGTGCAGACCCAAATTCTAGAATACAAATCTCCGTCATGGAAAAAGCCAAAAAAAAAAACCCCCCAGTTTCTGAAACACAGGACAAGTCCTGCCGACTTTAGTCCGTTGTTTTATATTCTCTACTACTACTAAATAGAGAGAGGTGGAGAAGGGGAGAGAGGGAGAGGGGGAGAGAGGGAGAGAGAGAGAGAGCCACTCAGTGAGGGTCATGGTACCTTTTTATGTTTCTTTTTCGAACTCTACAGGATCTTTTTAGTTTAGCTCGTTCATTACGATGTATGACTGCTTTTTAATACTCAACAACATGGCTGGCGATACAGACTCTTCTGGTCCTACTAACTACAATGTCTCTAGTACGGACGATGAAGCTGGAGTGACAAATGTGAAATTTGACGAGAAATAAGTTGCTGCTTTGCTGCAAAAGATGCGCGGATCGAAATCAAATGGTGGGACCACCGAGATGCGAACGATAGCGACACGGGAACGGCGAGAGACGAAGTGAGAGTACTAACAAAGCAAGCGCTGCAGAAAAATTCAACTAAATATGATTCCAAATTGTCACGCCTATGACCCATGTATTCGAGAAGAAAAAGCTCGTTATACACAACGAACTCTATATGTATGTGTACACACACCAACACATACACGCACAAATGTTCACACTCACACATGCACACTCACACATGCACACTCGCTCGCACGCGCGCACACACACATGCACACTCGCTCACACATATATGTATACAAACACACATATATTTATAGACACACATAAAAAAAACACACATATATACATTTAAAAACAACACACACATACATATATATATATATATATATATATATATATAACACACACACATCCATACAGATTCTCACTCACTCACTCACTCACTCCCTTACGCACACCTATAAT